TTTATTTTTAAAAAACCAGTGGTGGAAGTCTATATATTTTTTTTTGGTACTGGGGATTGAACTCAGGTCCTTGCGCTTGTGCAGCAGGCGGCGAAACCACTGAGCTAAATCCCCGGCCTGGAAGTCTGTATTTATTCTACCAGTTGCTGTCTCCCTCAATATTATAGACAGCTTTACGGCAAACTTTTACATAATATTAAATAGTGCCAAATTTTCTTTCTTTGAAGATTGGCCTAACATTTGGAAGTAGATGCAGATCATTTAGAGTAAAATGGAATGAATAAAGTGGCTGATTAAGTTGGATTAGTGATGATTTGACTTAAGGCTTTGACCTTAAGTGATGGCCTTGAGCATCTTTGTGCTCTTTAACCACATTTTTGTAGCATTTTGGGTATTTTCTCTAAGCAGAGTTGTTTTTAAAAAAGCATGGCTTATCTTAAAGGAAAACAGTCTTTTGAATTGATGAATACCATTGTATTCTGTATGAAATTGACTGTTTATTGCCATTTACATATGGTTTAGCTACTTATAAATTCTCTAAACCGTCAGTTTGTGACTGTAAGGTGTTCGAATATCAAATATATGATTCTACTATGGGAATCATCGTGGGGATAGGAGAACTTCAGCACTTAATTTCTGGGAACCAGGGAGTCTTATAGGGAGATGGCACACTTGGGATAGGCTAGTCTTTCGCCTCATTCCAGTGGCATGAAGGGGTCCATGTTCCTTCGGAGCCCACAGGGAGACAGAACAACTCATGTCCTATGGCTGCTGAGCGGGGTCAAATTGCTTGAGAGTTGGATTTTAAATATAATTCAGCTGGACAGAATGGTGTGATGAGCCAGTGTGCCAGTAAATGCTAGCGGTTAGCCTTGAAGGTTTTATTTCCCCAGTCTGGGACCTGAGATGCCCGTTCCCCAATGAAAGGCTGCATTCTGTGAGCTGGGGGTGCACCCCTCCAGGGCACAGGAGATACCCTGATAAGGGCACAGAGGGAGTTGGAAGCTTTCCTTCTCCAGCTGCTCTGCGGGCACTGACTGCACCCATTGTGTGTCTGTCACCGGGAACACAGCTCAGGTTCCAGTGTCCTGTCTGAGGGCTCACTCGCACAGAGCCTGCGATGGCTCTGGCTTTACCAGGCTGGACGAAATGGAACACGTAGGTCCTGAGCCTTGATGTCCTGAAGGCAAAGATTCCAAAACTGATGGCACTCATTTCCCGGCACAATCAGAGCAACAGGGCGCCCCTGGCACCCCAACTCTCCCGTCCCTAATAGGAAGAGAGTCTGAGCTTCGGGTGACAGCCTGGCCCTGGGACACTGCTGACGGATTTCCTTAGGGATTCTTGTTTTTTTTTTTAGTACCGGGGTTCGAACTCAGGACCTTGGGCTTGTGAGGCAGACACTGGAACTGCTGAGCTAAATCCCCGGCGCTCCTTAGGGATTCTTGTTGGAGAGCAGAAATAAGGCAGAGTTTTGCCTGGGGATTTTTGACTTTGGTTTTTGCAGTGGCTCTTGGTGTGATTAATATTTTATTCTCATTTCTGTTTGCCTTGACAAAACTGGGATGCCTGTGGGGTGTGCATGTGTGCATGACTCTGCCTGTGTGGCAGGAGTGGGAGATGTTGGAAACATTACTTCTCCTTCCAAGTGGGACCTTTGCTTCGTTTCATGTTACACAGTTTTCTGGCTTTCCCATTTACTGGAGAAAAGCATTTTCGCTGGGGAAGAAGTCTCCCGCAGCCCGCCCCCATTCAACGGTCCACTTTGTCTAGGATTGTGCTAATGTCTCTAAACCCAAAACGGGGGGTTGTTAGGCAACATTGCCTCCAAAAGCACTTAACTGTTTAGGGTTAAAGACAGAAAAATTATAATTTGGGTGCTGTAGCATTCTTCACAAGCATTCATGAAGAAAGCTGGCTTTGTTGCACGATTGGTTTGAACTCTGTGAAGACAGACAAAATATCTTTTTTGGTCTTCCAGCGTAGGCAGGGCTTTCTGGTCTTGAAAGCAAATCTCCAAGTGCATTCTCTTTCTCTTACATCAGCCCACTTCTCTCCTTGGGTCGAAACAATAAACAAAGTGACCATTGTTGGTGCCGGGGTGTTTTCTCTTGCTTTCTTCTAGTCCAGGCTCCCAGGGTAGGAATCTTCAGCCTGGTAAACCCCCAGCATGCTGCTCCTCTGAGAGAGGACATCTGCCCAGCGTCCAGAGCTGGAGCGAATCTCAGCACTCAGTCGGCTGTGCAGAAATGCAGGTTGCTGGGCTGAGAGGCAGGTGCCCCTGGGTGCGGGGAGAAATCACACTCACAACCCTGTTTTCTTTTTCTTCAGCATTTGTAAAGTGTGTGCCTCCAGTGGGAGGGTGTGGCTGAGACTTCAGAAAAGCACTGAAAGTACTGTTTGTTCTTGAAAAATGTCAGGCCTCTCCGGTAGCAGAGATCTTCGTGAAGAAGAGTGACAAAATGCCTTCTTCCAGGGCAGGGGTTTCAGATCTGTTCACATGGCTCTCAGCGGGGAAAGCAGAATGGGAGGGCTTGCATTTAAGGAGGGTTCCTGAGGTTGTGGTGGAAGGGGCACACGGACTCTTTAAAATTGAATAAGATTTATACAGAAACCTTTTCTTCAGTACTAGGGATTGAACCCAGGGCCTTAGCACCAAGCTGCACCCCAACCCTTTTTATTTTTTATTTTGAGACAGGGTCTCACTAAATTACCGAGGCTAAACTCTTTAACTTTCGATCTTCCCATCTCAGCCTCCCAGAGTGTAGGCTGCAACCTCACGCCTGGCTTCATCTTTTACCTCTTCTTAACTGTTGCCCTTCCACACTTTATCGATCTCTTCATTTTCGGTACTGAGGACCAAAGCCAGGGCCTCACATTCTAGGCAGGGGCCATACCACAGAGCCACATCTACAGTCCCCCTTCCACCCTTTTTTTTGAGACAAGTTCTCACTAAGTTGCCCAGGGTGGCTTTGAACTTACAATCCTCCTGCCTCAGCCTCCTGAGTAGCTGGGATTACAGGCATGCACTATTCTATTTGGCATTAGCAGGGTCTGCCTCATTTCTCCTTGTATTTCAAACCATTTATGAAGCACCCCAAAGGGCTCTCCTGCAGTAAAAGATCTGCTTTTATTTATTTATTTTTTTGGTACTGGGGATCGAACTCGGGTCCTTGCGCTTGCACAGCAGGCGGCGAAACCACTGAGCTAAACCCCTGGCCAAGATCTGCTTTTTTTTTTTCTTTTTTAGTATATGTGCTGCCAAAGTGAGCACTAGATCTGCCTTTTTTAATACTGCTCTTACTTAAAAACCATCAACACAATGGGGTGCGAGGCTGGCGTTTTTGGCAGTACCAGAGGTCAAACTGGATCAATTATGCGAGTCTCATCTATTATTGAATAATCACTGAAATGACTGAAAACATCAATCAACCCACCGAACATCTAAGGCCAACCTTCTGGGTTCTCCTTCAGAGAACAGAGGGTGGAATACTAGAGAAACAATAAGCACCAACTCCTGAGAAAATACAGCAGCCAAACAGCAATTCTACCCTTTGGTTTCCAGCAAGTGTGTAAAAATCAGACAAGAAAATACCTTGAAAAACGGTTTCACTTATCCAGAGGAAAAAGAGATCTGGACCTAAGACATAAGTGGTGCTGGAATCTTTGAGAACCCTGCCTTCTTTTCCAGTGTCTTCTAGAAGAACATTACTTTGCGCAACAGCCTAGACGAGCTAGCTTTTAGTATCGCATCTGCATTGCTTTCTTTGATAGTGACTTCCTTTTCTTTGGGAATAAAAAATATCTCTTGGAAAATATCATCCTGACATCGAATACATTAAAACCTTCAGCCCAGCTGAAGGTTGTGTGTGGGGTTGTGTGTGCACAGTTTATTAATTTGAACAGAGAGCCCTGGGGACACAGGAAGAAGCATGGCGCTTTGCATTTGCCCTGTGAGAAGAAGTGTAATATATGGGTCAAAAGCCACAAGGGCTGCACTTCGGGTTACACAGAGGGAAAGCGAGGTTGGTTATGAAAGCTCAGAGTCCCAGAGACAAAAGCTTTTAGTTAGAATTGCATTTCTGGAGAAGAGGGCGCCTCCTCCTTCACTGAGTCCATTAGGACCCGTTATTTATTTTAGTGGTGCTGTTCTCAGGAAGTGCAGTATACAGGAAGGGCAGAAAAATGAGTGAAGGAGGAAATTTGATATTGATTTTCTTTTCTTCTTTGAAATTGCATAGAGACGCTCAATACCTGGTGGCAGTAACTTTGGTCAATAAGACTCCATTTGAGCCCACCTTGAAGTTCGGTGCTCTTGATTATTTTAGACTTCCTCTACTGTCAGATTCATTTATATCTCATTGTCTTTGGTGCCCAAAGGCTGTTAAGTTTTTAATGAAGTTTTTTATTCATAACACTACTGTGAGGATTTTGCTGAAGGTAAAATCATGAAGAACCAAAACAAAAGTCTGCCCCTCCTTTTTTGGCTGAAAAGAATCAACAATACAAAAAACCGTATCTGAAGCCAGTCATGGTGGTGCACACCTGTAATCCCAGCACTCTGGGAGGCTGAGGCAGGAGGATTGCAGGTTTGAACCCAGCCTGGGAAATTTAGTGACTTGACAAGGTCCTGCCTCAAAATAACAGTAAAAGGGCTAGAGTCAAGTAGTTTTGTGCAACAGCCCTGGATTCAATCTCCAGGACCATTAAAAAAATCAGAAAATCCAAAGAGGGAAAATAGAAGAATAAAGTGATTAGTGAGTGTCCGTGTTGTAAAACAGCTTTTTGGTGCTGGGATGTTGCTACATCTTCCTGGTTTTGAACCCCAAAAGACTAAGCAGCGTGCTTTCTGCTCTGGGGCGGAGGGAAGGAAGGTCTTCTGTGTCAGTCTCACCTCACATCTGATGCACTTTGGTCATAATCATTTCTAACATCACTTGAACACTTGGAGTTCGAGTAGGAAATGCGCCAAGTCTTTGTCTACGCTTTCTGTTCTGTAGGGAAGCGATAAGCCGCCTGTGTGAAGCTGTCCCTGGGGCCAGTGGAGCCATTAAAAAGAGAAAGGTAAGTGTGGATGTGGTTTTCGTTTTTCTAACTATAGCCAGATAGCATCAAAATAGTTGTTACCTCATCCCACCCTGAGCTGCCAGGTCCTGCCTCGCCTTGATTAGGTGGTGTGATAGCAGAGCTGCACCCGAAGGTGCTCTCGTCTCTCACATCTTGCCAGCTGTCCCGACACTGTGTGATATAGGGGTGCCCCTGTCTCACTGAGATACTGTTCTTATTCCATGAGGTTAGGGAGGTCAACCAGATGGCCAGTTTGGTGTCTTCCGGTTTCAGTATTGTATAAATGTATGTGATTTGCATTTGAACATTTTTGACTTTTTAGACTTCCTGGCCATTTTTTTTTTTTTTTTTTTTGTACCAGGGATTGAACTCCGGACCTTGCTCTTGCGAGGCAGGCGGTGGCACCACTGAGCTAAATCCCTGGTCCTGGCCTATTTTCAAATGTGAACAGGCATAGGGGTGAGGTGGTAACACCTGAGGGGAAGGAGCTGTCCACATTGAAAGAAAGCAAAAGTTTTGATGCTAGACATACTTGGATTGAAATCCTGCCTCTGCCACCCAAGAACTGTATGATATTGGACAAGTTACCTATTCACTTGGATCCTTGATTTCTTCATCTGTAAAATGGGAGAGAATAGCACTTTTATAGAGGATTATGTAAGAATGAAGTACAGTAATGTCTACAAAGTATATGGCAGTGTCTGGCATATGCATATATTAGACCTTCTACTTTGTATGTTATGGTAGTACTGTTACTATTAAGCTATTAACCCTAGAATATAAAGTCCAATGAAGAGCTGCAAAAGGCACTCAAGGTAAGTACATAAATCATAAAGTAGTGGACAGTTTAAGAAGAAAAGCATCTTGGGAGAGCTTCTGGTCCACCCCTTTCGTGTTGCCAGCTACTAAACTGGTCTGAGAGAAGAGCTGATCACCAGTGTGATTAAGGACACAGCTGGTTGTAGAAGCCAAGACTCCTGATTCCTACCTTAGGGCATTATTTCTGTCACCTGCCTTGATTTTTGTTACCACTCTTCATCATTTATATAGGGCTGAACACAGTGCCACCCACAGTGACTCAGAGGAGCCATTTGGGGGTGGAGAACTCTGTCAAATGGCCCTTGGATTCTGTTAAGGATTCCCTATTACTGGTTTCTTTGATGGAACTCAGGGCCCCAGAGCAGCGTCTAAACAATGACTCTTCCTCTTCCTCCTCATCCCTGTGAATAAGATGCTTCAACTGGATGACCCTAACAGACTCATTCATTTAAGACCTTCTTATTTCAGGAGTGGGGATACCAAATCCAAAATAAAACAAAACAAACCTGGCTAGCATCTTTCCAGAAAGTATACTTGTGAAGAAAAACAGAAATTTTCAAGTTCATTTCCTTTGTTTGTTTTTGTTGTTGTTGTTGGTACCGGGGATCAAACTTGGGTCCTTGCACTTGCGCAGCAGGTGGCAAAACCACTGAGCTAAATCCCCGGCCCCATTTCCTTTGTTTGATAAGCATTTTTTTGAGTACTTCATATGAGGAGTAGTATATATTGAACAATATAGTGAATATTTAAATTTTAAAAAATATATTTCAGTAAAAGACACATTGCTATGAATCCCCCTCAAAATACTCCTCCTTGATTCAAACACACTCATCCCATTGTTCGTGCCTGTTTCTGGAGCAGCTCTGGAGTCCTCTTTCCTGAGTGTCTTTAGCTGTGCTGTCGTGGCTGCCTCACTGTCCTGAATCAGTTAGAAATGTTTCCCTTTCATGGTCATTTTAGCTTTGAGGAAGAGTCAGGAGTTGCAGTGTGAGATCTGGTGAATAAGGTAGATGAGAACACAGCATCACGTTTTTAACAGTCCTGCCTTCCCATTGGATGGCATTCGACAGCTGCATTCACCATATTTTTGGTCACACCTCAGAAAGACACTCAGGAAAGAGGACTCCAGAGCTGCCTCAGAAAGTGGTAAGAATGATGGGAGAAGTGTGTTAGAAGTGAGGGGAGCATTTTGAAGGGAATTCATGGCAATGTGTCTTTTATTGTAATAGTTTTTAAAAATGCAAACACACACCATGTATTTTGACAGCCCTAGGGACTCTTCACAGCTCTTTGTATTTTTTATTCTTTTCCATTTTTTAAAACTATAGTAAAAAAACTATACATAACAAACTTATCCCATAAAAAAATCATCATCTTAACCATTGTTACTTGTAAGTATACAGGTCAGTAGTATTATTTTTCTAGTCTGTAAATCTTCTGTCTCTGATCTTTATTATTTCCTTCATTCTGCCAGCTTTGGATTTAATTTGTTCTTTTCCTAGTCCCTGAAATTGTAAAGTTAGTTTTTTTACTTGAAATCTTTCTTCTTTCTTAATATAAGGGGTAATAGCTATAATTTCCCTCTCAGCACTGCTTTTGCTGTGTCCCATAAATTTTGGTAATATGCTTTTTTAATAGTTTGTTAATTATGGCAAAAAAAAACCCTACCGATAAGCTAGGCCTGTGGCTCACACCTGTAACCTCAGCTACTTGGGAGGCTGAGGCAGGAGGGTCATGAGCTTGAGGCCAGTCTGAGCAGCATAACGAGACCCTATCTCAAAAAATAAATACATTTTAAAAAACCTGAATAGGTCCTAATACTTACCACCACTTTATGGGTAAGGAAACTGGGGTCTACAGAGGTTAAGGAACTTGCCCAGTGACCCAGTCCATGTGAAGAGGGTCAAGCCCAGGCAGTCAGCCTGTAGGATCCAAACTCTTACCCATGATGCTCTTTGTTCTTGTGGGCAATATTTTTTTTTTTTTTTTGGTACTAGTGATCGAACTTGGGACCTTGTGCTTGTGAGGCAGGTGCCGGAACCACTGAGCTAAATCCCTGGTCCTTGCTCTTTGATGCTCTCTACCTCTTCAGCCTTGCATCTCTCCCTAGAGCAGGGAGCCAAAAATTACTAAGAAAAAGAATTGGAGGTTCTTGAAAGGCTGTGTGAAACAGTCAGAAAAGCCAGTCTGCTGTGTCAATACCAATAAATTAGTTCATGAATGTCAACTTATGCCTCCCTATCTTAGGAGTTTCTCATTGGTAAAGTGGGGATAAATACCCCTCCCAGCCAGCCTCTGCTTTTCTGTAACAGTTGAGAAGTGCTGCAGGTAAGATGCAGTAATAACATTCAGCATAGTTTGTTAGGACTTCATGGTGTCCTCCCATTTGTCTGTACTTTAATACTGAGCTGGACTCTTCCCAGGCCTGGCTTGGGTAGAGGCAGAAAGGGGGAGTGGCGGTGTTGTTCCTGCCCTGTAAACTGAGACACCAGGAGGGCTTCAGGGAGTTCCTTGGGGACCCTCAGCTGGCTAGCAGCTCACCTGTGGTCCTCGGGTCACCTGGCTGGCTCAAGCTGGTCAGCCTCACTGCCAGTCCAGCCTCACTGCCAGTCCTGCCTCACTGCTGTCCTGTGTGCTGCTCACTTTCCACGTCCTCCAGAAAACCACATGCTCTGTCCTAGGGCTTATTTGAACTCAGGTCATTTCTACTAACAATGAAAGACTTTGTCTCCCTCTATACAATACACACATTTGGAGCATTTCTCACAAGTTAAGGTTATTTTGAGGGCAAAGTTAAGATGATGTATGTAAACATTCTTTACAAATGACAAAGTGCTTGTGAAGTGTGAGATAGTATTATTATCTAATTAGTATGTAACAATAATTTTTTTTTTTTTTGGTACCAGGGATCGAACTCGGGTCCTTGTGCTTGCAAGACAAGCAACGGAACCACTGAGCTAAATCCCTGGCCCGTAACAATAATTTTTTAAACTAGCATAAAAAAAACTGTACAGAAGCAAATGAGTGATTTGCTGTTAAATACCATCATTTTAGAGAACAAAAAATCGTTAAACTCTGTGAATGTGGCGAAGGTGAAGAAAGTAGATCAAGAGTCAGCTTGGTGATAAAGTGACACCGATGGTGTTTGGACATCCTAGTCACAGTTTTGCTACATTTTAGAGTGTGCTTGGAATTGGAAATGAAAACCTATGCACTGAATTTCTTGGTGTGGCTCCTGAAGGGATCAAATAAGAGTAAATACACAAGTAAGACTGTGAAGGGAACAAATCGTGTTTCCATTGATTGCCTGATATTATTGATTTTTTTCTTTTTTTTTTTTTTTGGAGCAATCACTAATTTTATATCCTGTTTGGCCCATTTTCCAGCCAAAGATACCATATTTAATCCAACATCCATCGCAGTATTTAAATCTCTCAAACTGTCTCTTAGAATCTTAGTGTTGAAAAGATAACAACAACAGTGAATAATAATAATAATGGTGATAATAATAATAAATAATAGCAGCTCTCATACATCCAGCCAAGTACTACATTAAATGTGCTCCATTTATCATCTAATTTAATCCTCGCAACAGTTCTTATGAGGTAGGTTTTTTCCCCTGTTTAATAGAAAAGACAGTTGAGGCTTAGCAAGGTTATTTGTCCACAGTCATACAGCTGCTAAGTGGGGCACCTGCTTGAAGAAACTGGCTGTCCCACCTCTCTCACCTCTCACCTCTCACCTCTCACCTGTGTATCGGTAGGTACCTCTTGCCTTTATAATTCCCAAGCATTCTCTACTCTTCCTGAGAAATGCCAAGACTTTCAAGTTTTACCCTGGCGTGGAGGTGCACACCTGTAATTCCAGCATCCAGGAGCCCGTGGGAGGAGGGTCGCTGCACTTTGGGGCCAGCTTGGGCTACACAGTGAGTTCAAGCCCTGGACTTGTGAGACCCTGTCTCAAAAAAAAAAAAAAAAAATCAAAGCAACAACCATAACAACAACAAAAGAATTTCAACGTTTATCAAAACATATCCCTTTCCTCAGGCTCTTTCTCTACATGTCTGTTAGTGAACTACATGTTCATGTTAGTGAACTCTGGTAAATCAGCTTATCAGTGAGTTAACGGAGAATGGAGTCTTAGTAATATTTGTTCATTTTAACAAGAAGGACTGTCTGAAAACAGTGGTTGACCCAGAGAGAGTGGCCAATCCCACTCCCAGCAGTGGGAGGTGGGATTGCAAGCACAGTGCCTGTGGTGGTTGGAGTGCGGCTTTATCACCTCCTTCTTTGTTTCCATGTGCACTGAGGACTCCAGCCCCTCTGCTCTGAACTCTCCCAGGAATTTGTTGATACAAAGCATTTAGGGAGAAGGGAAGTAGGAGAAAACTCCCCAGGCCTCCAATTTCACTTACTAAAGAATTTGCTGCACTCCAATTTTTTTTTAAAGTTTTCAACGAGAAAGCAACCCATCTCATTTGATTTATGTAAAGTAGGATAGAGAGGAAGATCCATTTTTAACATTTAAAAAATATCACCAGTCTGTAACAGCATCCATAACTCACAGTGCTGTTTTGTTATTTTTAAAGGCTCCTGTTAAGTTCCTCTCAGCAGTTCTTGGCAAAAGTAATCTTCAGTTTTCTGGAATGAATATAAAACTGACCATCTCAACGGGCAGCCTTACACTGATGAAACTTGATAACCAGCAGGTAAGACAGTGAATGCCATTTTTGGTTTAACATAGCTGTTTTTCTGGAAGTCTGAGAGTAATAATGAGAATAAAGTGTCAGACAGAGTATGCTCACAGTTTAATAAGCCAAAATGGAAAAATAAAGCTCTTTGCATAAATTTAGGCATAAATCTTGGTCTGGCCATATTGGAAATTATTTTCCAATAATTAGAATAACAGCATTACTAAACTATCACTGGTGTTTAAGTGCCTACATACTTGCTGCTACCTAACTGGCTTTGTGTGACAAACAAAGGTTCAAAGAATATAGTAAATAGGATTTGCTAACTAATACCCTTGATTTGGGCACTGATGAGTCTCCACCAGCTCTCCTCATAGGAAAAAGGACTCCATTATCATAACCGAGCATTGCTGGACTGAGGGACAAAGGGGAAGGGTGACATTAGGATTAATGCCCTAGCTAACTGAAATCTACATAGAAAACACTTTTCTCCAACTCGTGTAGTTGAAAAGCTTTCTCCAGTATTACAGTATAAACAAGTGTATTTCTCTCTTGATGATTCTATGGTGTGCTTGAGTTTTTATTGTGAACCTCATTTCTCAACAAACAGCCTTGCTGAAGTAAATATAAAATATATACAAGGGGTGATCCAAACAGATGGAGAATATTTAAATTAAAAAGATTGTTACATTAAATGACACATTGCTTTAAGGCCCCTTCAGAATCCTCCCCCTCACTTCAAACACTTATCCCACCATTCTGGCCTCTTTCTGCAGCAGTTCTGGAAGTCCTCTTTTGTGAGTGTCTCTATGAGGTATGATCAAAAATCTGGTGAATGCTGTTGTCCAGTGCCGCCCAACAGAAAGGCAACTCGTAAAAACATGACACTGTCCTCATCCACCTTATTCATCACATCTGGCACCCTGCAATGTCTGGATCTTCCCCACAGTCAAAGTGATCAGGAAAGGGGAACATTTTGAATCACTTCAGGACATCAAGGCAGCCATGACAGTGCAACTAAAGACGCTCACGAAAGAGGACTACAGTGCTGCTGCAGAGAGTGCCAAGGATCATGGGACAAGTGTGTTTGAAGTGAGGGGCAGTATTTTGAGGAGAATTCATGGCAATGTGTCTTTTACTGTAATGCATTTTTATTTAAACACTCACCATATTTTTGATCACACCTTGTACAGACAACAGGCTAATATGTAACTAAACTATGACAGTCTTTGACTTGCTTATAATTTTCAAACTACATTCTTTTTATTAAGTTATTTATGTGTGTTAAAGTCTGATTTTTCTTTGTCTGATATGTAGTAATTAAGAGATTCTGAATGTTTAAGATTTTACTTTATTGGCTGCTATGATCAAGGACTCATGGAAGGTTGAATTTGCACTGGCAATGATAAAGCAGTAAGAGGCCTGAGGTCGTATAGCAGGAGGGAGAAGTAATGTCATTGTGACTCATTAGCAGCTGCTGTAATACTGTGAACTATGGTTTTCATCATCAGTGGACTGAAAGTCACAGTACCTACTCAGGGAGAGTATGAATTTAGTAGTGAATGTGTAATAGGGCTGCTTAGTGGATTACATGGGATAATGGATGTAAATCTGTCAGCCAGTGCCAGTTTTGTGGGAGCTATTATTATCATTTACTTACGCATTCTCGGAGACCTTTTCATATGCATACTCAGTACTCAATGGGGAAAGCGTAACCTATGCAACTATAAAGTTTCTGTTTTAGAAGTACAAGTGTTGAGGGCTGCTTTATTTTCCAAATTCGAGAACAGAATACTCTGCTTATGCAGCAGTGCATAACACATTCAAGGAAAATGCGTAAAGTGAAATAATTCAGATTCCTGCTCCACGGAGCCTTGATTATCCTGAGAGGTGATCCACTGCTCTGATGCTGCATGACCTCTTGGGCTGGTGAGACGTTCATCCTGTCATCCATGGGCTTGGACCTCACGACATCTGTAAATGTCCTTTTAGTTTTCGCCTGTGTGTTTGGTGCCATAGAGGCTTGAAGCCCAGGGATCTGGAGCTGTCGCGGTGACAGCCTTCTGTGCGGGACCTAATGATCATTTTTAAAAATAGCCCTTCCCAGGGGTGCCTGGAGTGAGTGGGAGTTGATGAAGAATCAGGTTGTGGTGCGTGTGGTGGGGCACAGTTTTTCTCAGACTCTCTCCCCCCACTACCTTGGTCAGGGCCCGGCCGTTAGAGGTGTGTTACTACCTGCCTACAACCTTTCTGTCAAAGTAAGAGGTGGGGAAGTGGGGCGAGCACTTCCACTACCAGTAGCTGCCGCAGTGACTTGCATCTGAGACGGTGCAAGGGGCTGGTCTGTCCCCTGGTAGAGTGGGGACCACAGCGAGGAGCTCCACGTACCCCAAGAAAAGGGCAGCTAAAAGCGTCAGGGGAGGAGGCAGCAGGGCAGAGAGACCTCATGGATGTTGCATGAGAAAAAAAATTATTAATTAATGAAAGCCAGGCCTGGAAGTTCTAATGCAAATATAAAGAAATACAAATGCTTCCCTTTTCACTAACTTCTGAGATATACTTTGGACTGCAAACATGAAACACACTCAAGTTTACCAATACACTGATAGATGACAGAACTTACTGGTCAGGCGCTCACATTGGTTTCAGTCATTGAGATTATTACCACTTAGTCTCATAAAATTGTTTCATAGACCTTCAGAGGGAGAAAATAAGGTTATATTAAACATGTAATGTTCTAAGATTACCATATTTTGAGATGAGGAAATATACTATGGAATGATAAGTTGTTGGAGTTTCTCTTTCTTTCTTTTCTTGGCATTGGGAGTTGAACCCAGGACCTTCACACTGAGCTACATTTCCCATCCTTTCAAACAAAAAGTTTTTAGACAGGGTCTTGCCACATTGCCCAGGCTGGCCTCAAACTTGCAATTCTCCTGCCTCAGCCTCCCAGAATGCTATGATTACAAGGCATGTGACACCACTCCTGGCTTGTTTTAAATTCAAGCAACAGTCCTTTTCGGGGGGGGGGCTATAGTTTAATATTAGTACCCCTTTCCCTCCACCCATGGGGGATATGTTTCAAGCCCTCAGTGGATGCCTGAAACCACAGAAATACCAAACCCTATATCTGCTCTTTGGTTCTCACTGTGGCTCTTGGCAACCTCAGCATAGGATTTGTTTTCTTTCCTTAAGTCAGTAACTTTCACCTTTTCACCTAAGGAAGTGCTTCACTGCTTCTCTTTAGCATATCCAATTGCTAGCATCTCTACTCTTGCGTTTGTGTCCATCATTAAATATGGTAAGGGCTGCTTCCACTTGGATTCCACGACAGGGGGTCTAATAACTGAGAAGTCTCCTACTTGACTGTCGGGCAGGCAGGGTATACAGCGTGGACACGCTGGGTAAAGGACAAGTTACATCCTACCATGTGGGATGGACTGAGATGGCATGAGCTTTCATCATGCTCATGAGAATGGTGTGCAATAAAACTTAGTTACTCCTGGAATTTTCCCCTTAGTATTTTCAGATTGTAGTTGACCACAAGTAAATGAACCTTAGTGATGAACAGAGATAATTGTATAGCATTGTAGGGCCTTAAGCAAAAAAGTCAGTCTCAGCAACTCCCACTCCTAATTCTTTACTCATTTCTATAACTGTCACCAGTTTAATGGCTGCTGAGTGAGAAAGTAACAGAGATAAGAAAGGTAAAATAGTCAGAAAATGGATACTCAGAGACAACTTCAAGTATCTGGAGTCTAGGCAGGCAGTGCAAACAGTCCAGGTCTAAGGGGAACAGTGGGGAAACAGGACCCGGGAGCCTGGCAGACACCCTCCCCGTCAAAGGTGAGCCCTGTGAGATTTTGCCATGAGGACTAACCAGGTGCTGCCAGATATTCCACTTTCACAAAAAAGTGGAGGGGACCTTGGGTTTTTGGCTGCTATGTCTGGATTGAAATGTTGGTCTTTAAGAAATTAAAATTATTAGCATGAGTCAAACCAAACCGACCTGTGGCCCAAGGGCAGCCAATGTGAGGAAACATAATACATAGGGATACAACTGGAAATGCTGGACGATAGATTTCCAGTCACACTCTGTACACTTGAACTTCTGCACTTGAGCTCCTAGCCTCATCCTGCATCCCCTTCCCTTGCAAAGTCAGTATCAGAACTTCCTGAGCCCCTTTCTCTGATACTCATTAACTGAACATATACACACGCAGACACACACAAAACACACAGACACACACACACACACACACACACACACACGGCCTATACTTAATCCTCACAATTTGTAAGGTACAGGCAGTTACCCCTATTTTCAGTTTAGAATCCAAGCCAGAGAAATTAAGTACTTTAGTTACTGCTCCCGTGGAGACCAAATTTGAATCAGGTAGTCTGGTTCCAATCTGCTTAACTTTAACATTAAAAAGAAAATTCAAGTTTAAAAATGTTACCATTTTCTATCTTCAGTAAATACATATTAATTTCGGTGGTCTCTCTGTTGACTACTTTAAGATGAAGCAACAGCCACCAGGTACAGTAGTTGTAGCCATCTATCTTCCCAAGATGCAACAGGTGTCCCCCACACCTCCTGTTTCCTAGTTGGTCACACAGAGAAACAGTCACAGCTTCTCAGTTCCTAGACTTTACGGGGTTTATCTGTTTTTCCGAGTCTGTCTTCCCTGCTGTCTTTGTTTGGAGGTAAATCCAACTGGCCAGTTAACTGTACCCCCGCCTTCAGTACTGTCAACTTACGCTGCATACACAACTATGCCGGTACACAATCTTCAAAGACTTTCCCTACCAGGTAAGAAAAAGCAATGGAAAGGGTGAAATACGAGACAGTAGGATTCAGTGCCAACATTTTACTTTTTTTCCTGCGGCTCTCCCTCCTCCCAACCAACCTGGTGTTGTCAGTCTCTTACAGGACCCCTCTGCCCCACCCCGACAGGATGACTGCAAAATAAATAAAGGCTGTGCTGCTCTACTGATCTGTCCTGTGCTGTCATCATGGAGTAGGAACATCTAGCACCTTTTCGGTGACCCTAAAAGACCTGATCTTTTGCTTGGCATAGCCTGATGTAACTACTTCTCTCTTGGAACTTCAGGATCCTAATAAAATAAGCACAAGCTCATTGATAGGGCATGTTTTCCTGGGGTGGCAAATTCTTACAGATAATACTTAACTAAGTTTAACTTCCAGAAATTAACTTATAAATTGGGTTTTGAAGCTGAGTCATTTCTCTTTCATATATACTGGTTGTTTAAATCATAAAGTGGATGCTATAATGTATACCAATAAAAAGAGTATGCAAAGTATGTATGACATACTATTAATCAAACAACATACACAGAACAAGAAATTTTTATTATCTTCAATGCTGGTGCATAAAGAATAACAATCTTAATTAGAGGAGGCGACAGAGGAAAAATCAGATAGTGAGGTGGATTTCTGGACAGATTTAAAACCTTCAAAGGACAATCACATAATTGTTCATAGCATTTTTTAGATATAAGGCTTTCCTATTACTTGACAATTTTCACTAACAGTTCTTACAATATGAATTTCAGCTAAAGTCTTCCATATGTCAAGTTAATGAAAAACAGCAAGCAAAACAGAATTTTCTTAGTATATCAGGGTATTTCTAAATAACTTGTCTTCTTTGTACTTCCACATACATTTTAATGTCTACATTTGAAACTTTCTAAAAGACATCTTAGTTTGTGACTTTTAAAAATACCATAGCCATGACAATGGATTTTCCTGAAGTATAGATCACAGTTGTTTTATAAATGACCAAGATACATGTACAAACAAGATTTCAGATGCTCTTGGAAACACATTTTAGGGTACACCACATGTGATACATTTAGTTTTAGTTTGCTCATTCTTCTGGAATTATGAAGAATAATCAATTCATTTTACACTGCAAATTTAGTCTTTGATTACTCTAACTTGGATAGATCACAGAATAGAATTTAAAACTTTTCTCAAAAGGGTTTCTTCCAAATAACAACCATATCTCGTGGGCATATTTTTTTGACTCATTACATAATTTGGATCAGTGGGCTCTTGTATTGGTCGTGATTTATTCTTGCAAAACCATCTTTACTGCAAAACAAATATGAAAGCGATCTTCCCCAATACAAAGTCAAAGCCACAGGTGTTCCAGGCTGTTCTTGGAAAGCAGACTGGTCAACAGTCCTAAGATCTTTTTCTTTCCTGATTCTTTTCCTTTTCCACAACTGTGCAGTCACTGTCCTTGCCTTCTACTCTGAAAAACAAAAACCAACTTTTCTGTTTGGAGACCGAGTGTTTTCATTGGCACAGAACGATTTGGAATAACCCCCAAAGACAGCGGAATGTTGGGCTCTCCTCGAGTCGTGTCCTCCTCTGGTGTCAGCATCCGGGATTTACTCTCTGTCAATCATCTCGTCGCAACCGAGTTCTTCGGTCAGGCGGTTGACGACCATCAGCGAGAAGAGCTCCTCGATGAAGGCGAGCTGATCGAAGGGGGTCTTCTCGTAGTGCATCTGGAACCCGCCGTCCAGGGCGGCCTCCCGCGCCCGGGATGTTCTCAGGAACATCTTGTTGGCCTCCTCCAGGGCGGCCGAGACGCGGTAGCCGGCCCCGCTCAGCGGCTCCTCCTCTGGGTAGTCGTAGTCGTCCTCCCAGTCGTCCAGCTCCTCGGCCTCGTCCTCGCCCTCCAGGCCCAGGCCCAGGCCCAGGCCCAGGCCCAGGCCCGGCTGCTCCCCGGGGCTGGGCCCGCGGGCCAGGCCCGCTCGGCCGCGAGGCGCCGCCATGGGCTGCGCGCCCCCCTCCTCCTCCTCCATCGGGCCTTCCTCCTCCAGGAGCGGCGCGGCCCCTCCGCGGGCGGCGCTCAGGGCCACCTCCCGGCTGCCGCCGCCGCCTACCTCCATCTGCGGGAGGTCGCCCTCGCCCGGCATCACGTCCATCTGCAGGTCGTTGCACTCTTCGTACAGCTCGCAAAGCTCGGCCATCTCCGCCATGGCTGAAACCGCTGGACCACTTACGAAGCGCTTTCGGCAGAAGAAGGGATGCGCGGCCGGGCGGCTGTGCGCGTGCGCGAATGCCGCAAGCTGGCGTCTCTTAATGCGCACGCGCACTGTCCGGCCGCCGCTTCCGGCCTGGCGCGCTGCGAGGGCGGGAGTCGTTTCCGGTCTGTCTATGATCACGCGGGGGCTGGGTGGGTGACTTGTTGGAGGTGCGCTCGCCCCCTCGAGACCGTTGGCAGGGTCACTGCCTGGTGTTTACGCTGCTTACCGTAACGTTGCTCACCTTGCTGTGGCCTGGAACATGGTGAGCGCGAGCCACACTCCAGGCCGCGTCCGCCCCCGCCCCGACCTGACCCGGGTCGTCGCCCCCCGAAGGTGTGATGGTCGCGGGCCCGGTCGGCGCCGCACCCCTACTCCGTCCCCCGGATAAACGCTGTGCTGTCCTTCTTTCATTTGTTCGAGGACAGTTTTTAGTATTACAAGCAGCGAATAAATGAACATCCACACGTGCTCGTGTTTTTCTAGAATACTTAGAGGAGTGGGAAAGCGGAATCAGTTTTGCATATTTTAGCATAGTAAATACTGTCAAACTGCTCTCCAAAGGTAACTGTACAAGTTTGAGCTGAGCTGCAGTCAGCAGTGTCAGAATACCCACGACTCACTGCGAGTGATTTTGTTGAACTGTAACAACTTAATCAAGTTAATGGTATCGATTTATTTTCCATAATGTTAGCTTCTTGGAAAGTTAATTCTCTTTCAATATGTTTATCTAACATTTATATTTCTTATGTGAATGAACTGGTCTTAGGTTGAGTGGTTTTTTTTACTGATTTGTAAGTATTCCGTATAACTTCTTCATGTGAATACTTTTTCACTTTGCAAATCGAGTCTCCCTGCTTGGTGTTTGTCTTCTGTTATATAAAATGTTAAAAATTATTTTTTATGTAATCAGATTTAAGGGTTTTTTACTGTATGTGTTTTTTCTCTGTTCAGATGAATTTTTCTACTTTAGTGTGTCTTGATATCTGATAAGGAAAACCTTGTCTTTGTTCTTTTAAAAAAAGCTATTTTTGTATTTATTTTAACATAAATTTTAGAAGCAGCTTTATATATCTTTGTACGTTTTGTATCTGATAAGGGAAATCTTGTCTACTTGTTCTTTTAAAAATTGCACATTTATTTTTCTATATTTTAGAAGCAGCTTGAAAAATTCCGTAAATGACATTTGTACCGTTCTTATTAGAAGTGCACAGGATTTGTAGATTTAATTAAAGGGAGAAATTGTCACCTTTATAATATTATCTTCTCATCCTTAAGGTTATATATATTTTTCCACTTACTGGTCTTTTTTTTTTTTTCTTGGCACTGTGGATCGAACTCGAGTCTTTGCGCTTGTGCAGCAGATGGTGAAACCACTGAGCTAAATCCCGGGCCCCTCCACTCACTGGTCTTATTTATACCCTTCAATAAAGTTTTCTAAAAAGATTTGCATGGTTCTTATTTTAATACTTAGATATACTCTTAGCAGATGTCCCCCATAAAGGGTCTAATTCGCTATTGTTGACATATGGGAATGACATTGATCTTATACGTGGATTTTGTTTTACTGAAATATGAAGATAGAAAATGCACAAATGTGCAGGTAGCTTAATTATCACAAGAAGTATCAGGAAGTACCATTTGCAGCATCCCAGAAATCCTCTTTCTGCCTCTTCCTGTGCCCCGGAAGTAACCACTAATCCTGACTTCAAATAGGGTGAAATAACTTGTCTGTTTTTGAATGTAAATAAATGAAATGCTGCAGTACATACTCATTGTCTTTGGCTTTATTTGGTCAACAAAACATGATGTTCATATGTGGGAGTCCACTGTTTGAATATCGCAGTGATCATAATTGGGATTGTACCTAGTTTAGGGCCATTATAAACAGGCCAATTACTGTCTTTATTGAGAATATCTTTTGTTGCACAGATGTTGGATATGCATCCAGGAATAGAATTGCTTGGTCATTGTATATATGCAGCTTTAGTAGACTGCCAGGAAATTCTGAAAACAGGACTAATCAATAGGTGCATAGTTGTTAATGAACACTTATTAAAACTGTACAAAAAATAATTTCTGCAAATTGATCATCACACTGTGGTTTTCAAACAAGCAAACCAGAATCTCAAAAGAGACAATCTTTTTGGCTAAATAATTCAGTTCACTTTTCTTGTCTTACTTGATGCTAGAAGTCTAAAGGTTAGCCTTAGGCTGTTTGGTGATGAATGCTTTAAAAAACACACATAAATAGAAGAGTAAATTCATAAATGGGGGAAAATCTATTGGTTAAAGTGGTGGAACGAATGTTACCACTACACTTTTTTTTCTGGGTTTTTTTTTGGTATCGGGGATTGAACTCGGGTCCTTGCACTTGCAAAGCAGATGGCGAAACCACTGGGCTAAATCCCTGGCCCTTTTTCCTGTTTTTAACTCTCAGCTTTGATGTTCTGCAGAGAGAAAGCCTTATTTTTGGTACTGGGGATTGAACTCGGGTCCTTGCGCTTTCGAGGCAGGCGCCGGAACCACTGAGCTAAATCCCAAGCAAGAAAGCCTTATTTTGTAACTAAAGATAGACCCCAGAAACTTTGGGCTCAGGTGGTCCTTCGCAGCGTAGAGAAATGCTTTCTCTCCTGTTACCCATCTGAGTTCCTCCCTTAAAGCATTGATCGGCTCGTCTGTATCCAGAAAGATGGTATTTTCTGATTGGTTAGATCTAGGTCCCCAGGGTGGGGAAAGGCAGTGAGATGGGCCTGTCAAACCCTCCTGAACCTTGGGGTTTAAATGAGATTGTTAGGGGGCGGGATTGTAGCTCAGTGCAGAGTGCATATGGGACATGTGAAAGGCTCCAAAAAAGCAAAAATGAAAAGGAAATTATCGGAGAATGTGGGTGGGGTGGTTCCCAAAGGGATGTTAAGCTGGCAAAAACCAAACAAATGTGGGTCCATTACTGTTAGACTGTGTATAAGAGGAATAGTAACTTATGGCATCATATATATTTAATTTGTTTTATATTTTTCAGATCATTGCAAATCATCATATGCAATCTATTTCATTTGCTTCTGGAGGGGATCCTGTAAGTATGCATTCATTAAAGTTCTTTTTTATAACAACTGAAAGAACTGAATTTAAAAACACTTGGATTAGTAGATGAGTTAACAGTATTGCATTGTATCATTAGCCATGGCGTTGTCATTTGCTAAGCTTCTTACTGATAACAAACATCCAAGTCATGAGCAGTAAGTGTTGCCAGTCCTCAGAATTCTTCTCAGCACAGGGTTCCAGGCAGACTCCACTAATTAACTGGACTTGGTATATAAGGGGAAGCCAACTTGCCATCCTGCCACGGAAACCATGGCAACTCAGGTTAATCTAGAATGAGCACCTGAGTGTGTAGAAACCTATGGAGGGACCCTCAACTGCGGAGAGAGAACTTGCAGTTCTTTATCAAGAGACCGTACAGTGCTCATTGCCACAAATTGTGTAGGACTCCATTTCCCACTCTGTAGGCTGGATGTCATTCCTTTGATCCCATACTACGTTGTTTCTGGACCAGAGGCATTGTTTCAGAGAGGGGCATTTAAGCTGGGGTGCCTCTGTCTAAACAAGAAACAAATCTGTTTACACTGAGGGAATAGAAGGACAATTTTTCTCTTCTGCGACGTTATGAGCCATTTTGTTGTATCTGTAAGCACATGGAAGGCTAGAAGAGGGCAGGGTGTGACATTTACAATGTTAGAACATCAGTAACATCAGAAAACATATGGAGAGAGAACGTATGCAGACTTATTTTATACAGAATATATTACCTTATTTTCTGCAAAATATTATTCACCACTATATCCTTCAGGAATGAGTCATTACATCCAGTTTAATAGTTGATTTTTTTCTTTCCACTATATTCAGTTTCTTATTATTGGCAAGTAAAATTTAGAGTCACAAATGATGAGACACATAACAGAGAAACCTAAAACATTTATGAAGGGTAGAAAAAAACCTAAATCTGCCACTTGATATCACTAGAAAGTTTTAACTTAAACTATATGCAAAGTATTGAAAATGAAAAATAACTAGGTCCCAGAAGGAAATAAAGTTCTGAAATTACTCTGAGTGATCATTGTTTCATTACTGGCTTCTAAACAATTTGAACAAATCTCTTCTCTTACATGTTGATGAAACTTTCTGGTGTGTAAAGTACATAGCTAAGTGGTATTTAAATTAGACCATTGTTAAAAAACACTTAAGAAATGACTTGTCTTCAGTTTGGCTGCCAGTGACTCAAAATATTCCAGCATGTCCACCCAGGACAACCTGCCTTCAGAACTTCTTTGAACCATATGAAAAAACTCCTTTACAAGATTTCAAGGGGTCGGGGATTTAGCTCAGTGGCACTGTGCTTGCCTCACAAGCACAAGGTCCTGAGTTTGATACCCGGTACCAAAAAAAAAACAAACCAAAAACCACAAGATTTCAAATTACTGTTTTTATTTGTTTGTTCTTATGGAATACTGTGCTTTCTCTTTAGGCTTCACAGCTTCCTCACCTTTCTGCCTTGGGTGTAGTTATTTTCAAATGACCATGTTAGTTCCTTGATGCCACCAAATAAAAGTAAACCAAATTGTGAAGAGCTCTCCTTTCCCGCCCTGGGAGGATCTGTGGATGGCTAATTGTGGACTGGACTGGGTGTGGACTGTAATCTGTCCAACCTTGCCACCTGGCCTCAGCTGCGACACCAAGGGTGGGGTCCAGTGGATCCAAGCTGAAAACACCATTTTCTTTCTTCTTCCTGAGCCATTAGAGCTTAGGAACTAGCTAACTTGAAGGAACTCAAGATACTTTTCTAAGAGACTTCAAGTAATGCTCTGGAAGTGTAGTTTGAAAAATACTTATCGGTGTTTGCATTAAAGCTTCTGAGGTTGGTGTCATTTTAGAATTGATACCCAAACTCTGACCTACTCTAAGCACACTCTGCATGGTTTATGATACTGTTCCCCAGAATCCTAATGCTTTTCCTTGACGTCTTCATGTGCCTTTAGTCCTTTAGTTCTTCATCCAAGCTCTTCCCCTCTCAGGAACAAACAGTAAAGAATCTGTCGCCACTGTAAGAACATGTGTGTCTGCAGAGTTGAGGGGAAGCTCTGTGTTCTCTGCTGGAGAGAAAGCCTGGATCCACCGCGAGCATCGGCATCCGACTCCCCCCGAGCACGCACACACACGCACACTGTGAAGCTTCACCCTCCTGTGCAGTCAGTGGCGCATATGCCAGGCGCTAGTGTGAGGTCCACTCGACTTACTTCACGCTGAGGTTCGGCGTCCTCCTCCGCAGGAGGACCCTGTTGCCTGACCGGGCTGCGAGGAGCCGTGAGACTGTGTGTGTGTGTGTGTGTGTGTGTGTGTTGCTAGCCCAGGCCTGGCTTGAGAGTCACACAGCTAACTATCACCAGCACGTGTCCACGTCTGCTTCGGACGGCACTGAGCTGATTCCCAGCCTCATAGCTAACAAGGCACGAGAGCTGGGAGGCTGGTTAGTTATAGGTCCCTGTGGTACAACATAGCGTCTTTCTACCAGACTTCTAAGTACTCAGCATTGTTCCTCACCCGTGGCCTTTGCTCACCCGCACCTTGACTCTGTTCCCAAAATGGTTCATTTTCCTTCTGTCAGCTTTGAAGAAAACTTGGAAATGCTTCTGCGACTCTAAGTACTTTATTTCAAAAACGCAAAACTTGTGAACACGTCAAATATTAAGCACTTTTTATTTCGCATCTTTTCACCTATTTCTGCTTTCCTTTTAAGCATTCTCTAAATTCTCTCAGCCACAGAATTTAAAACTGTTAGAATGGTGGAAACTGCGTTGAAGACCAGACCCTGAGCCCGCAGAGGGCCGGCAGCCCCTTTCCGGCCCTCACCCAACCCAGCTCCGTTCCTCCCTCAGGCTGCCCTTCGTCTTCCTAAGAGCGGTGAAGTTGGTTGCAATTGTGGCCTTGCTTCCAAGTTGATATAAGCAAAGCTCATGGACATATGTTCATGGATTTAGAAGAGTTCAAGTCTCTTTTTGCATGAGAAATTTACTTAAGTGTGTGTTATTTTTAAAAATAACCCGAGACAAGTGCTGCAGAGCCTGGATCTGCTTCCTGTGTGTGTGTGACTCACAGTGGGTCACTGAGTGCTCGTCCTTGAGAGCGTTACACACCGAGGCTCTGTTTCCTTCTAGTTGATTGCTTCTTCCCTCTGGAGAGTCTTACTTCCAATCTGTGAGTGGCATTGGATTTTTTTTTCCTGAGAATTGAGATAACAAAAAAGCATCTTGAATTATTAAAACCTTATCATTCATCAGCTTACTGTTTTCAAAGCTGGAATTACCAAGTGGCTTCTGTTGGTTTTAACAAAGTCAGCAGCAGATCTCCTTTTGAACTGCTTAAGTTTTTCATAAGTCCTCTTTTTTTAAAAAAAGAAAACGATTTTTTTCTCTCTATATTGGTCAAATATATTCTATTTTACCTTCCTGTTCCTTAAGTTCCCTAGCCCTGAACACATACATGCGAGCGAATGACCACAAAACCCAACCTGTCTCATTGTTCAGCATATTTTCTGTTTGGACAATAAAAAATCATAATGTCACATCCTACTTTAAGACACCTTTGTAATTATGTAATCCCCGAAACTTCAATTTCCAACATGAGAGAGTCATAGTCCCTGGCCATTTATCTGCATTCTCTTTGATTCTTTTTTTTTTTTTCTTTTTCTTTTTTTTTTTTTTTGGGCACTGGGGATTGAACTCGGGAACTTGTGCTTTCCAAGCAGGCGGTGGCACCACTGAGCTAATCCTCAGTCCTTGACTTTGATTCTTAATGACATAGTCTGCTTCTGAATCCTGAGGGGTGGTACTGGGGACTGAACCTAGGGCCTCGCTATGCTAGGCAAGCACTCTGCCACTGAGCTACATCCTCAGCCCCCATTTGTTTGTGTGGACCAGTGATACCTTGGTTCACTGACTCAGTTCTCTCCTCGACTCTGGTCACAAACCGAACTTGACAAGAACCAACTCCAATTTCCCCAGAAGGTCATTGTTGAACCTAACCACTGAATTTGATTCAGATCTTGTGCAGCTCGGTTCGTAACCAGAATTGTGGAAAGAATCAAGTTTGTGAACTGAGGTTCATGGTGCTGTGGAACCCAGAGCTGCAACCCAGCTCTGCTGCTTCATGTTTAATCTTCAGGGCAAAGAATGTGGACTCTACAGTTTGTTACACTGTAGAGTATATATTGTGCTCCTTGCTACAGTGCTTTCCTTTTTAAACAGAAACACACACAGTTAAGTCCTTGTTTCAGTGTCATGTTCTAAATGTGTTCCTATCTCTCAGTGGTACAGTTCACTCATTTTAAATGGATCATTTTCCTTTTTTTATAGGATACTACAGACTATGTTGCCTACGTAGCTAAAGATCCAGTTAATCAACGAGGTATGGAAAGCAACTTCTAGATTTTCTTAAGAGCTGTTGTATGCTAACTTGAAAAAATACTAAACATTTATTTTTAATATAAAGAGTCATGAGGGGCCGGGGATTTAGCTCAATGTTTTCGCCGCTTGCTTCGCAAGCGCAAGGACCCGAGTTCGATCTCCGGTACCAAAAAAAAAACCAGTCATGAGTATCACTAGAGTGCTACATTGCCTCTGAGAGCCCTCTGACTGCTATACCTCCAACCTCCAGTCCTGAGTCCCACCCTGCTGCATCAGAATGTGATTTCTCTTTCTGTTAACCTCACATTTTTGTTATTTTATTCACTCACCCACTCGTTGCATGTGCCAGTATGTTTGGTGTGCTCTTCCTACTAGGCTAAGATCTCAAGCCCCAACCCTGTTTCTCTTACTGTCATTTCCAAGCACTCGTTAACAATGCCTAACACATAGGTGATGCACAAAAGCTGTTTTGTTTGTTGAATGAGTGAGTGAATGGAGTTATTGAGTAGATTCTTATCTTGGGATTTAGCAAGGTTGCTTAAGAAACTCATTGCCTGCCATGCTGTGGGTCAGGGATGGTTTTTAATCTCTGGACAGATGTGGTTGGTATCACTTCTCATCCCTAACTCTGGGAAATTCAGACTGCTCTTAGGGAGTGGAGTACAGGTCAGTTCTTCTCCTTAACTAGACCTGTTAGTTGTGACCTCTGCCACCCCAGGGATGGAGTTTGCCCCCAAATATATGTGAACATGGCCTGGGATGTGGAAATTGAAAAAGCTCAAAGTCACAGAGGTGGAAACACATGGCACGCTGGGGAGCAAAGCAGTAGAAGACACTAAACTGCAGAATGTACATGGAGGAAGAAAACAGGTATAGAGGGCAGATAGGAAAGAGCAATAAGTAGGGACTTAATCCTGCAGGCAGTGGGTAGAGAGAGCTGTTGACAAAGCAGAGCTTTAGGAAGGTGGATCTGGCAGTAGCATGTAGTGGGTGGATTCAGGAAGAAACTTGAAGTGGGGAGATCCACTTGGAGACAGTTGTGGTGGTCAGAAATGAAATGGTGACAGCCAGCTGCCAGCATGGTAGGTGCTCAGCAGTGCTTGTCAAAAGAACATGGCCTTAATGGGCAGAAAGCAGCGAACAGATCAAAACCACTGAGAAAGGCTCCATGCAAGCCAGGTCACGCTATGCTGAGTAATGAAGAATGGGCAGCAGCCAAGGAGGGGCGGAAGGGACAGGAGCCAGTACAAGAGCAGCGGAGGGACGAGGATAGCACACGAAGGATCGTAGCAAAGAGTGGCTTCTCACCATCCCGCCTGGGTGCTGCTGAAGCACAACTGCTCCCTAGGCTTGGGGCGGCCCTGGAACAACGAAAGGATAGGATGGAAGCAAGAAATAAGGCACCAGGAACTCACCACCATCGCTGAGTGTCTCGGACACATCATCGAGTCAACAGTGGCGGGAGAGGGGTTAAAGACCAGAGCTGGTTGCTCAGGGTAATGGCCAGGAAGGATCCATGTGTTTGAGCAGAAGTGGGCAGAGGAAATGAGGATGTAGCACAATCCCTGGGGAGGCTTCTTTCCGGACCTGAGCAGTTTGTCAGAGCTGAGCTGCTGGAAGGGGACCCGTGGGGATTGTGAGGACAGAAACAACCATAACAGAGGCTCCAGTTTCTCCTTCAGCCATGAGCCAACACTCATGCTGGGGTCGGAAGGACTAGGCTGGAATAGTAATTTTGCTGCCATTTCACTCAACCTTAGGCTGGTTGTCTCACGTCCGCAAACCCTGACCTCTGTATCTTGTAAGTGGGAACCAGGACATCGTGGTGCTCCTTGTGCTGTGGGGCCGAGTAACAGGTGCCACAGAAAGCATTGTTTTCTTTCCTCCTCCATCTCTTCTTTCTTTCTTTAAGAAAACAGGTCTCTCACAGTAGATGGATAATTGGATCCATGGGATAATTTTCTTGGATTTAAAAGTTAGTTTTCTCCCCATCACCTGTTCCTCCTTTTCCTGAGCCCTCGTCCCTGCTCATTCATCTTGTTACACAAATCCCCGCATGAAGCTGCCTGTTCCTGACACAGCCCCTGCCTGTGGCCTCCACGAGTGTTCAGCCTTTTCCTCCACATAGCCCCTGTGAGGAGGTCAGAGCACAGCCTCTGAGTCTGCAGATAATTATTAATCCCATCTAACATGCAGCTAGTCCTCATGGAAGAAAAATAATTCCTGGCTGCCACAGGGACATTATTTAACGACAGAGGTAAACAAATCTGTCAGAGTCCCCAGAAAAGGAGAGGTGGCAGGTGAACAGTGGCTTGGACGTGGTAGATGCTTGGTTAGGATGTGTGGGACGGATGGGTGAAGGCCCCGGGGGAAGAGTGGGGTAAGGACCCACAGCCGTGTTTGGATGGTACAAGAGTGCGTGTGTGAAGGTGGGGCTGCAGAGAAGGGAAAGAACAGAAGTGGGCAGGCTGAGGGATGTGGAGGGCATCGCACGCCAGCCAGCAGGTCACTAGGTGCCATCATGACTTTGAAGTTTATAAGAATTACTGTGGCTTCTGCCATCCGACCAATATTGTAACATGATCATCTTTCTGGCATTTGTATCTGTAAAGTGATGCTGGAGGGTGGAAAAGCAGCCTGGAATATGGAGTCCAACTCAGAGAACATCTCATTGGTACTGGGCCAAGCTGGGGATGTTCTCAGTTGCCTTGGAGGAAGAAGGGACAGTTTGAGCCACGCTTGTGGACTAATGGTATTTGATGGCTATTTAGCATGAGGATAGATGAGGAAGTAGGAATCAAGCCAGGCACAGTGGCATAAGTCTGTAATCCCATTACTCTGGGAGGCTGAGACAGAAGGATCCCAAGTTCAAGCCCAGTCAGACAACTGAGCGACTTAGCAAGACCCCATCTCAAGATAAATATAAAATGGGCTTGGGGATATAGAGCAAAAATCTCAGTACTTGGCTCATAGTAAATATGTCATAAATGGTATCTGTAATTGCTGCTGCCATTATTATTCTGCGTGACTTGGAGTAGAGAAACAGGGATATTTAGCAAGAGGAAAAAGACAAGAATGTGATAGAAAAACAGGGCAAAGGAAAATAGCCATCATTTATCACTTGTCACCATATTCCCGGCCTTGTCAGCAGTACTCCATCCACATGGACTCCTTTCTGCTCATAGCAAGCTGTGAGGTAGGGAACGATACAATTCCTTTGTTATAGACAGAAACAGGCACTGAGAGGTCACCTCAGTGACCTAATAATAAGTGGATGGGCCAGTTTGAGGTTCCGGGCACACCATTACAGAAAGGCATTATAGGGGGCAGGAAACACTAGAGAAATGAAAGGTTTAGCCTCACTAGCAAACAAGACGCACAAGTTATAATTAGATACCGTATTCCACCTCCAAATTTCAAGCCCTAAAAAATGGTAAGATGTGGTCTAGAGTAGTACTTTTTGAACACTGCTGATTAGAACATAGATTCAAACATTTTGTGGAGAAATTCGACAATTTGCATCAAAGACTTAAAAATGTAAACATCTTTTAAACTGGCAGTTTCAATTCTGTGGAAGCATTAGAGTAGGCATGAAGATTAAACCATACAGATTGTCATATGTCATTTATATAATAGCACAAGTAAAGTTAATTCCATGCCCATAAATAGAAAATCATTTCAGTGAAACCATAGCTTGTATTACTATGCAGCAGTAGTAAGACTAGTTTAGAAAAATAAGAGACAGTGTAGGGGAAAATGTTTACAACCCTGTTAAGTACAAAAAGCAGGACATGGAGCAGTAGCTACAGTAGGACCTGCAGGGAATTCTGGGCAGTAGGTACATGCAGATTCAAGGCTGGAAAAGTCCGTGGCAAATTGCTAATAGTAGTTGTCTGTGAGTGGTGAGATTTCATGTAATTTTTATTTCTTCTTAATGCCTTTTTTGTTTTCTAAAAGCCCTACAATGAATATTTGTTATACATAAGAAAAAACGTTCTAAATTCTTGACTAAAAACAGTGACTCGGAAAAGGTGAAGTTGCCAAATGCCCCAGGGAACGTGGTTCATCCAGGGAAAAATGGCTGGAGGAGAACCCCCCAAGGAGGTCCAAAGGGAGAGGAGAGAGAGAGTGAAAATGAGAATTGAGCCTGCCAGGGCAGGCTTGGGAAAACAGCAGCTTCTTAGCCCTGAGGGGGAGATCCCTAAAGGAGAAATCCCGAGAGAGGAGGAGCAGGATTTCAGGGAGTGGGAAAAGTTAAAGGAGGTCTGGTGCTTTAGGACCTAGAGCGGTCCAGAGGTGGAAAGGAAGAAGCGGGGGATGAACATCCCATGAGAAGGAGAAGAACAGATTTCTCCTAGAGAAGGTAGGGGAATGGTCACCCCCGGAAAGGGACAGAGAGGAACAAAGTCGGGAAAATGCCACGAAGTCCTGCAGTGAACAGACCCGGGGCACCTGGAGAGGCAGAACCTGGTGGACTCGCAGAGGAGGGTACAGTGGAGGGAAGTGGAGGCGGGCGGAGGCCAGCTTTGTGCTGTAACCCCGAATGTTCCCACTGTTTCTCGTGTGTTGAATGCATTTTTTGCATTAATGGATTCCAAGCAAAGCAGCTGTCACTTTTTACCATCCTGGCTGGGACCCTTCAGCAAACTCTTTTGTTACACAGAAGGCTTCTTTTGTAGGAAAGGCAGGTTCCTGTAAGAATGTTCGGTCTTGCTTAGTGACTAACACCGCCTTCCCCTGTACTTGCCGTAGATGAGGAAATCCATGTTCTCCTCGCTTCTTCCAAGTATGGAACAGGTTTTAACATTTTCTCTGAATTTAGTCGGGAAAGAGGCCCCAGCACACCTGTGCGATCTGGGTATGGAAAGCTATAGTTCTGAGTCTCTGAAGAAAGTTCTGAGTCTCTTAAAAAACTCATGAAACCAATTTAAGTAAGTGAACCATTGTGAATTCCTGTTTACTGTTGCAAGGCACATGCACCCCCGACTGGACTGGTGACAGTAGTTAGCCAGCTCTCTGCTGGCTCTGAGCTCTGGTCTTCCTAAGGCCTGGAGTCCTCGTTTCAGCACCTCAGCGCCGTCTGCTGGCTGACACGAGAAGCTGAACGTTTCAATTCGGTTTCTAACAAGAACAAAAAATTGGGTCTATTCAAAGGAAAGAAGGGAAAGGAAAAAACGATGAGAAATGGAAAAAATGGAAATAAAGTCTTTGTGAATAGGGAAGGGTGGAGGGCGTGAAGGGAGGGCTAGGAATGGGGAAAAAATAAGAACCAAGATGCATTATATAAAGTTACAATTCCCAATGAGAAATGTGATTGTGTTGCATACCTACAATGTACCAATAAAAGAATTTAATACAAAAAACAAAACAAAACAAAACAAATGAAACTAGTAAAACAGACTCTGTTACCTCTAAGAATAATTCTCATCCTCTCATTTGTGAACACCCAGTTAGGAACCCAAGTGAAAACGAAAAAGACAGAATATGAATCTAAGATGCTCGTAAGTCTTACGTCACGTAACACCTGCTTCCCAGAGGCAGCTCTGTGGGTCCAGCTGACTACGAGGTGGGTGAGAAGATCCAGTTCTGTCTGACTCCAGATAGGGGAGCAAAGTGAGACTTCCACAGCAAGTTATCAGGTGGCTGAAATCAGACTGCCTTCGTGGGGGTACTGGGGACTCTTTAGATAATTTTCTTTCTTTCATCTTTTTAGCTGAAGAGCAAGGAATTCCTGGCTGAGTTCTTGGAGATACTGGAAAGTGACATACTGTACAAGGGTGATCAAAATGTGCAGTTAATGTTTAAATTTTAAAAGTTTATTACAGTAAAAGACACATTGCCATGAATTCCCCTCAAAATACTCCCCCGGCTTCAAACACTTACCCATCATTCTTGCCACTTTCTGAAGCAGCTCTAGAGTCGTCTTCTATGAGTGTCTTTATAAGGTGTGATAAGAAAATACAGTGAATGCAGCTGCCAAGGCCCATCCAATGCAAAGACAGGCTCCTAAAAGTACTAGGGTGTGTTCTCGTCCACTTTATTCACCAGATCTGGCACTGTGTGACTTCTGGCTCTTCCTCAAAGTCAAAATGCCCACGAGAGGCAAACATTTTAAATCCATTCAGGACATTGAGGCAGCCATGACAGCACAACTAAAGACACTCATGAAAGAGGACTCCAGAGCTGCTGCAGAAAGTGGCAAGAATGATGGGACAAGTGTCTTCAAAGGGAGAAGCAGGATTCTGAGGAGGCTCCATGGCAGTGTGCCTTTTCCTGTGATTAATTGGAAAAGTTTTAAATATTCACTGATTATTCACTCACACCTCCTATGTGGTTTTGTAGGGCCTTTCGCACTATCAAGGACCATTTTCACAGAGCAGTGTGTTTGCGAGTGGCAGCAAAAGCGCTATCCAAGTCTCCTTGCAGTTAGTGAGACAGGGAATGTGCCCAGGGACAGCTGTCTGTCTGGTGTCACCTCTTTCATGGGGGGACACAGGTAGCACTGCTTTTATTTTTTAGTTCTTTTGTTGGTACATTTTAGGTATACAATACATTTACATTTATCATTGGGTGCTTGTACCTGTACATGATGTATCTTTGTTCTTATTTTTTACCCCATTAGCTGTGCATCCTTCACCCCTCCACCCTTCCCTATTTACATAGATTTCATTTCCATTTTTTTCTTTTCTCATAATTTTTCCTTTCCCTTCTTTTCTTTCCCCTTCCCCTCCCACCACCGCTACACCTTTGGATCTTTTCCTATTTCAGATTATCAGTTATTCATTTTAATCATTTTAATCCTTATTTACACTTTCAGTTTCTCACACCAGAGAAACTATTCGGTATTTACACACATGTGTCCTATTTATTTCACTTAAGAGGATGGCCTCAATGTGCATCCATTTAGCTGTAAATGTCTCTAGGTTCTCGTTCTTCATGGCTGAGTAGTACTCCATTTTATTTTTTTAAAAACCCCACATCTTCTTTATCCAATCTCCAGTTGATGGGCACTTGGGCTGTTTCCAAGCTTTAGCTATTACAAACTGTGCCGCTATAAACATGGGTGCTCATATATCGCTGTGGTAGGATTCTTTTAATTCTTTGGGGAAGATACCCAGCAGGGGAATAGCTGGGTCAAATGGGACCTCCAGCCCTAGTTCTTTGAGGTATCTCCTTACCGATTTCCACAGTGGTTGCACCAGTCTGCACTCCCACCAGCAATGGAGAAGGTTTCCTTTCTCCCCACAGCCCCACCAGCATTTGTTATTGGTTGATTTCTTGATAGCAGCCATTCTTTCTGGGGTGAGGTGAAATCTCTATTGTGTTCTTTCTGTTCAGTTTTCTCAAAAAGTAATGTGTCAGTAATGGTTATCTGAAGCAGAGCAGAAAATTATGTTGGTAGAATCAGTCCTTGGCTAGGCAAGACCAAAATATCCAGGGATCAGAATCGGAGAAGTTGAATACATGGAAACTTTTAGAAGTGTGTCAGAAGTGGCAGAGGGTGGCTGGTGTGTTTTGTTGATCTGTTCTTCCTGTGGGCCCACACCCCTTGGCCTGTCCTCAGAGGGTCGCAGCTGCTGTGACAGTGAAAGGCTGGGGTTCCGTAAAGCAAAGGGGGACTTCTCTTGGTGGGTGAGGCCCTGGCTGTGGAGCGGCTTGTGGATGGTCACACAGATGGTGGCACAGTCGCAACTGAAACACAGCCCTGAGTCTTTGCGATGACTCCTTTTAAATGTCCACTTTTAAACATCCATTCTCTTATTTCTTTCACTGGAAGTACAGTTTTTTTCTTTTTTTTTTAATTCATGCTTGAATCTCCTGCCTCTCTCACTCAGTATCTTCCTCGTCTTTACATCTCAGCATCTTCTCAACTCTAAGAAAAAATATAATTACCCAAATTGTGTCTATTTTGATGGGATTTCTGGTTTTGATTCTGGACTACTAGTGTGTGAGATTACAACCAAAAGAATTCAAGTGAATAATCTTTTCGTATACGGTAACAAGACTACTTCTGGTTCAATTAGAGAATACATCTCCAAGTACCCTTTGTCAGTCTCCATGTATGAGGCCAGTGCATGTCCCTCCCAAAAGTATTGAGACATACATCCTTTAAATAAAGGTCGCCTTAATTCTGAAATAATATCTGAGATTCTTTGAGATGATTATCAGCATAAGCCTGTGAAACATGGTTCCAGGTTCTACTACAGCCTCCTTTTTACCAGCCCCACTGATTCTATCAGATGGGAATAGACTGCCTTTTCCTTAAATAAATGTTATCCTTTCTAAGCCAGTGCAAAGCATACAATCATGCTTCCACGGTAACATCGTTAAACCATTCCGCAAAGGTAGCAAGCTCGCCTTTCCTTGGATTTTTTTGTAATCTGTTCCAGTTTGCTTTGAAATTCCAAGACCCAAGATGCTTCCTCGGCATTTAATTCCCTAAGCACTCCTTTAAGGTCATCACCTTTTTTCTCTTCCCTGTTCTGAAAGTACAGCTGAAAAAGCTTTACAATTCCACCCTGGTACCGGGGATTGAACTCAGGACCTTGAGCTTTTGAGGCAGGCATGGTGCCACTGAGCTAAATCCCCGGCCCAACAATTCTTATTTATAAAGGACCATTACCAAGCTTTTCCCCACCCTTCAATTCTTAGGCAACATAAATCTTTATGTTTAAAAATTTTCTCCTGTGAGTTACTCCCTCTATCTTAATGTTATTTTTAGGATTCTTTCTAAAGTCATTCTTACGAATTTCAGTCAATTAAATGTCGTTATTGCAAGGCCTTAAGTGTACACCACATCCTCATAAAGTTAAGGTACTGCTAAGAGAGTACTAAGAGAGGGGAGATTAATTCACGGTTCGTAAACACAAGCTCTTCTTTTTCACGTAGTGGCAGCAGATTGGCTAAGTCATGTGATTATGAGATTCTGTTAGCTGCCCCTGCCACTTGTTTGCTTCACATGTGAAAACTAGCCTCTTTCTAGTCACTGCTCCTCAGAGAAAGATCTAAGAAAAACGTTAATATCCTCACCGAATCCTGACTTCCACGAACATTGGAGATCATTCTTTAGTTGGATTCAGAGATGGGGGAGACCATAGCTATCGCTGCTTTGTGGTAGCAACGGCGGGCAAAGGGTGATGGGAGGAAGGGGTATTCCAAAATCCCTTTCTTCACCAGCAACTCCTCCCATCATGGGGACAGGCTTGGAAAGTTATCTTGTTTTAGAGTTCTGCAGTGTACCTGGCAAAGATGAGACCTCAAGCCATCCACCTGTCGGATGGCTGCCCTAAGATCTCCTGCGTTGAATTCAAGAGCAAGCACGTACATATTAGTCACATTAGTCAGGGCAGTCCACTTTTGTAAAAATGGACTTGCACTGTAAAAATGGACCAACATTTGTGTTTTGAGATATTTAGATGTAAAATTGGAATATGTTTTTCTCATTGATTCATATGCAAAATGAGGTGTTCTTTATATCATGTCAAAACTCGGCAGTTTGCAAATTTGCTTCCTTTTATTCAATACCATTCAAGTTTTGGAAGCATTTTGACTTTGTATAATCTTCTCTAACTGACAGTTTATTATAATATTTCTTGTATATCTCTCATAGCATGCCACATATTGGAATGCCGCAGCGGAACGGCCCAGGATGTCATAAGCACCATCGGGCAGGCTTTTGAACTCCGATTCAAACAGTACTTGAGAAATACTTCTCTGAACATTTCTTGTGAAAGGTCAGTCAAAAGTTCTATAATTATTTGATTTGCTCTCCATATATTTTTTTAAATTAATATGATGTTTTAAAATAGACTGATGTAATTAGGATTTTTTTTTTACAAATAGGTGCAGTTTCAATTCAAAATAATAGTGATACTTCTTATTTTTCTTCCATCCTTTGCACGTGCAAGCGTGTATGTGTGTGTGTGTGTGTGTGTGTGTGTGTTTGTGTGTGGTACTGGGGATTGAATGCAGGGCCTTCAAACTGAGCTACATCTCCAACCCTTTTTTATTTTGACGAAGTTGCCCAGGCTGGGCTCGAAACTTGAAGTTGTCTTGCCTCAGCTTTCCATTCAGATCTCCACAGATATTTCCTCTTGCTTTGTAACCAGATTAAAGGAGACACTAAAAGTGAGAAGAGATCAGCCCTGTTTCTCTAGTGTTAACACAGAGCTATGAATCTATGAATTGTAATTACCAGAAACATCTACAGATCTCTCAGATTTGCTTTAACCTCACTTCTTTTGTGTATCTGTAAAAAGCAAAGCCAAAAACAAAGAGCAAAATCCAAAGAATTGAATGTCTGTGGTAGAAACCCCTGCCACTCGCTGGTTTAGGTAAACAGGGCAGCTCCCACTAACCTGGCAGGTGGTGGTCACGGTGTGACCCAGCCACCTGGCTGTCTAAGCACAGAAAGTGCATGGTGAAAGCTGCCGCTCTCCAGGGAGCTCAGCCCCTACAACTGTGGAATCCAGCGAGGCCCACAGCTCAGCTTCATCTGAGAAATGAAACTCTGGGAGCTTCAAAGTGCATTGTCCAGCTAGGCCTCTGGTGCACACCTATAATCTCAGCACTCGGGAGGCTGAGGCAGGAGGATCACTGTAAGTTGGAGGCCAGCCTGGACTACATAGTGAGTTCAAGGCCATCCTGAACTGCATAGTGAGACCCTGTCTCAAAAAAACAAAACAAAACAACAAAAATAAAATGCATTTCCCCTGGTTAGTCATTTTGTGTGGTTCAGAGACCTGCCTTTAGGAGGTGGTCTAGGCATCTGGGGGCGGGGGTGGTTATTAGAAGGTTTGATGCTGAATTTCGCCCAGGACATTTGCATGTTGGTGCTGCCTTTATGTTCGCTTGTCGTGAACCCAGCCGAACATGTGAGTTGTCAATAGAATCAGCCCATTCCAAAATGATTTGATTGATTCTTTTTTGTAAGAAACTCCTACTAATCTCAATGTGGGAGAAAAATCCATTTGTTTTCTTTTTTTCACCTATTTGGGTTTTAAAGCCAATCGCATGCTTACATAGACCTCCCACTTGTCACGTAGGTGCCTCATGTCCCTTTATGAATGCCATACACTCATCTAGCGTTGGGCAGACCAGATAGCTGCTCACAGCTCTTATTGTTTTTCATCTTAGTTTAATCAACTGGGCCAGGACTTCTACCCAAAGAGCAGTCTGTAAATTTTCATTGAGTAAAACATTTCCTAAATGCAGCAATTGAAATGGAGACTCCCAGAAAGACTTTGCTTTTTAATGATCCTGTGACAAAAGTGGCTTACGTTTAGGGAATTCATTACTGTTACTGTTATTGTTATTATTATTATTACTACGAATCACTGGGGCGACACAGAAGGCAGCTTCTGTGGGCCGACTCCACTCTGTCTACAGAAACCTAAGCCACAGCACTGACTGTTTCCACCCAAGTGTTAGACACTGCACCGCTGTAACCCAAGAAGTGATGCAGAGTTTCCAGGACGATTTGCTCAGTCTTGATCCCTTTGTGTCCCCGTGGCATCTGAACTCCCCCTATCTCTTGGGGATTCTCTTTTCCCTGCAGTGAGGAGGTGCAGACTGACAGCCCCGCCTCGGAGGGAGAAGATCATGAATATTACAACGAGATCCCAGGCAAGCAGCTGCCGGCAGGCGGCGTGTCAGACCTTCGGATCAGAGTGCAAAGCCCTGAGCAGAGGGCGTACTGCCCCATTCGCTGTGAAAAGCTGTGCTACTTGGTATGTAAGGACTGAGCGCTTCTGGAAGCAGCAGTGGGATTCTGCCCAGGATTTCCACATGCCAGCTTGGAAAACGACCGGCCCCACCGTCCTGCCCTGCATGGCCAGAGGGGAGTCTCAGCCAAGTTGGCCTGGATCACTTTGACTCGCAGGCTCACCGCTCTCCTCACTGGGCCAGCAGGGCGACCCCCCACGCGGTCCTCAGTCCCCCACTTCCCAGCCGCATTCTCCTGCTCTCTCTTCGCAGCTGTCTGCACAGCCGGGCTGTGCTCCCCTCATGCCACGCCACCTCTGGTCCTCTTCTGCCCCTTCACCTCTGCCCCACGCTCATTCGGTCCATGGGTTCTTTCCCTTTGCCTGCAGGTAAACCTGGGCTCCTCCAGCCCCACTGGTGACACCTGCCTCCTTCTCACCCTCCTTCCACTCAGACGCCTAGGGAGCCCGTAGCAGTGCTCTCTCTCATATCTTCCTTGCCCTGTACTTTTGAGATCCAAACTCTGCTTGACAGCTTGATAGAAATTACTTTCCCTGTGGTCAGCAGTCATTTGATTGCTAAATCTGTCTCCCTGCTTGATATTTCCCACATCCGTCTACACTATTCAACATCTGTTGGCTGCCTTCTTTTGAGATCTCTTCTATCAGCGTCCAAAACATTTTTATCTTGTCCTTGTCCTCCCAGATCTCTAGTTCTGCTCTTCTTTTTCTCTCCCCCTTCTTCTCTTCCTTCTTTCCTTCCTTCTTCTATCTCTTTCTCTCTTTTCATTCCTCCAGCATTTCATGAAGATTTTCACAGATAGAAAAGTTGAATTATGCAGCGAGCCCTCACACACTCGCCCTCTACATTCTACAATAACATTTCACTGTTTGCCTGTCACGTACAATGCTGTTTGTTGTTTGTAATCCGGCTTACTTTGGACACGTACTTTTCAAAGGAAGCTGAGCCTCTTCTTGTGGTGTCATCAGTTATTCCTCCATCTCCTCCCCAAAGAGCCACAGCCCACCCCAGCGCCATGGAAGCCCCTGCAGGGTCTGCCCAGCATGGTACACACTTCCTGTGGCTTCTTCGCCTTACCCACTGCTCACGCTAGCAGGCTACACTGCAGCCCACTGCTTATTTACATCGGGGTTGAGGTCAGCATGATCTCCTTGACTCCAAACTCTGTTCCTCTCCTGATTCGTTCCTGTGTATGAATGGCGTGGCCATGCTTTTGCTAACCCACGACCTTTCTCACGTTTGAGGGCTCTGTATTAACTCAGTCTTCAAGACCTAAGATTCTGCCGTGAAAATATCTTGGGAATTTACTGAAACGCCTCCATTTCTACTGCACCTTTTCAAGTTCTGGTCCCAGCTGGCCTGAAGATGCTGTGGGCCCCCTCCTGAGTCAGTCTGCGTCCTGCGCCCTGCGGTGCGCCCCGGGCTCTGCCCAGCTCCGGGGCATCTGCATAGGGAGGGCTCCATGTTGGGACTGAAGCCTCTGATGGGTGAGATTCAAGAATGAGAAGTGAGGGCTGGGGGTTTAGCTCAGTGGTTCCTCTGCTTGCCTCCCAAGCGCAAGGACCCGAGTTTGATCCCTGGTACCAAAAAAATAAGGCTCCTGAGCCTGTCAGCTCAGCGTTAGACAGAGGCTGGGTCCTGGCAGTGTTTATAAAAATGATTGAGGCCACACTGGGCCTCCCAAGCAGCAACAGGAAGCTGAGGATGTAGGAGGGGGTTCCCTTGTGAGCCTCCCTCTCTGGCCACCTCTGCAGCCCTGAAGCAGGACTGGAAGGCAGGTGCCCTCCCCACCCGCCCTGCAGCGGTCTGAGCTGTGGGGCGGTTCTTGGGCCAGAGAGTGAAGAGGGCTTCTTTGTTCTCCTGGAATTCACGAGTACTTTTTTTAATGTCCTCGAACGTGTCTTGTGCTTGTAAATGCCTCACAGTTTGTTTTCCTTGCAGCCTGGGAACTCCAAGAGCAGCAGTGCGTATGAGAACTGTCTGGAACAAAGCAGGGCAGCAGGTAGGCACAATGGGGTCCCCATCAGTCGCCCTCCACGTGCCTTCTGGGTGATGTGAAGAATGTGTGAGGTCCCAGCTCTTAGACACTCGGAAAAGCCAGGTGTGTATGGGACAAAACCCGGAGTCCTTTGGCTGCAGGCTTCCAGGGGGCTGGGGACACAAGTGTGTCACCAGAGGGCGCTGTGGAGGCCCACGCTCTTCCTCGCTCTTGTGTCTAAGCCTTCCCCGGGAGGCTGCTCTGTCTGCTCAGAGCTCGGGGCCTCCCCTTGTAGGAAGACCGACAGTAAACGAATATGAAAATCGATGCCTGCCAGATCCGCCAGGGTTAGGATAAGACCTTATTCCATGTCAGCAAAGGGAGCAAAAGGACACCTGAAGGCCAGTGGGCAGTCAGGGGCCGTGCACTCCGTTTGCCAGGCAGGGCTGGCTCCGAGACGGACAGCTCTGAGCAGCGCGCGGGCCAGGAAAGAGATCTCCAGCCTGAGCGGAAGCCCGCCCCAGCTCCCTCAGCAGCTTGCAGCTTGCCCCTCCTCTCCACTAAACAGGCGTCCGCCCACCCGTCTTCCTGTCCTCAGGCCCCCCCCCCCCAAGGGGGCTCAGCAGATGAAAATCCTCAGTGAGGTGACTGCTGAGTCACAAGACTGCCACTGGAGAAAGGGGCGTGATTTCCTTTGTTCCTCAGAGTTCTCATCTTGATTTATTATTATTTTTTTACATTTTTAAAGCATTCTTCCTCCAAAAGCATAAATTTATGAAGCAGTGAATGGATATGGAGGCATCATCTCAAGCTTATTCAGGATTTTTCTTTTTGTAAGTGAAACCTTGTAGAATCCTCCTTGTGGTTTCTGGTTTTCTTGGCTGCATTTCTTCTTTAAACCAACAACCTACCCTCTTACTCTTACTCAGCGTGAATCCGCCCTCAGCCACCGAAGGCAGGTCCAAACCATGAACAGACTTTGGAGTTACAGTTGCTTCAGAGCCTGGAGTTCATTCCACAGAATTTATTTCCGCCATAGTGGCTAACAAGCGTGCTCTGTTGTACTCTTCTAGTTTGCTTACACTGGAGCACAGATGTGTATTCTGTTGTGAAAAATACGATAAACATTCTGTTGCACACTGCCTTTCTTCACGGTAGCTCTGTGGTCATGACCCTACCTGGGAACCTTTCTGGACCTCGAGGAGGGAGAGACGATGTTTGCAGTTGAGAATGAGTCCCCAGATGGGTGTTTTCCTCCCCTGCACATCACTGAGCTACAGCACTGTTCCCATGGCACAGCAGGGTTTCCGTTCTGATCGGGCCCCAGAATGCTAAACGCTCATCTCCCCACACCTCAGCTGCTGAGACCACTCAGCCCGGAGACCTCGACAGATGTCCCTCCTGTTGTGTCAAGAGGGAGTCCCTGCTGTAGTAGTGCCCTTTCATCTCCAAACACCCATGGATTGGGGTTTCCTGTCTGCAGTGACCTGAAATTCCTGACCGGGAGCAAATTAGCCAGTTGCCAGAAAAACAAATGTATAGTTTTTATGGCTTCTCCCAGAGATTCATACATAAGGATTTGGGAGCCACCACATAAATATTTTCAGTGAGGTTTGGCTTATTTATTCAAATATTGACTTAAAACTTGAATTCTGGATGTATTATACCTATTGCAATAGGCTTCTGGTTGTTGAAGGAGTTAGGTGTATTTAATAGATGAAGAAATGACAAGGCAAAATTAAAGAATATTCCCCCAATAGTCAAGTTAAATGGAAATGTTGACATTTGAACTGAAAGCAGTGCTAAATTCCTACAGATCCTACAGGCTTGCACTTGAAAACTTTGCAAGCCACTGTGTGCATTTATCTTCTCCCACAGACCTTCCCAGGCAGGTTGAAGGGCTCTGGGAATGTGTGTTAGCTGGAGTGTGGGCCAGGCTCTCACCACCCCCACACTGCAGCTTAGAAGGATTTTCAGTTTGGGTACGGGGTGGGGAGCCTGGTTCAAAACTTTAAGACAACACTCCTGACTTACACATGAGGTTGTAGTAGAGAAAAATGCAGTGGCAGTTGTCGGGAGCGAGTGGGTGTAGATAGATGCTGCTGCTTTGGTGCAGCCCTCGGGGGATGGTCAGCTCAATGTGGCTGGCTCAGGTGAGGCTTGGTGAGGCGCAGAGGGTCAGCACCCTGTGCTAAAGGCTGAGTCGGGATTGAGTCTGCAGAGAAAGGGAAACTGAGTGCACATTCAGCCATCTGTTCGCTCAGCTGGCAGACGTTCTCCTGGTGGCCACTTGCCCCGTACCAGGCCCTGCAAATGCAGAAGACAGTTTACCCTTCTTGGGCAGCAGATGGCGTATGGCCCACAGTGGCCCTTACCAGAGGGCTTCCTGCAGGAGCCCAGTTCAGCAGAGCTATGAAGGGAGGACCCAGGTGTCTGTGGAGAAAGGGAAGGAGGAGCCCAGTAGGGAGAAGCATCTCATGTGGAGACGCACTGCCACTGCATGGACAGCAGCCAGTCCTGGGTCATGGTTTGCGGACTGCCCAATAGGAGGCAGGCACATGTCCAGTGTCTCGCCAACAGCACTGTGTTTGGTCCTCACCACTCTATTTTACAGGTGTGCACACGGAGTCCTAGAAAGAAGAGGATAATTAACTTGTCCCAGGCCACTGGGACAATGAGAGATAGCACAGGAATTTGCACTCAAGTCTGTAGGAATTTAGAAGCAGACCTCTTTAAAATATATATATATATATGGCTTTATTAGTTTTAGTTATGTTTTATTAGTACACACTTGGAGTACACGATCACATTCATTGTAGGGAATAGGTACATTACATAACACATCTTCTTTTTATGTTCCCTTTTCCCTCTTTTCTCTCCCGCTCTGTCCATCTCAAGATCCTCTTCCCATTTACTAAAGATCTATCTCTTTATTTCCTATTGTCTATCTTTTCTTTTGCTCTTAAAATTACTTATATTTTGGGTTTCTCATATAAGAGAAACTACGTGATATTCAAGCTTGTGCATCTGATCTGCTTCACTTGACATTATGGTCTCAAATTGCATCCATTTTCCTACATATAACTCAAGTTTATCCTTCTTTATGGCAGAGTAGTGCTCCATTGTGTTAAATGGTACATTTTCTTTATACATTCTGATATTCTGTGTCCGTGCTGATGGACACATGGGCTGCCTCCAGGATTTAGCTGTTAAAGAGTTGTGTGGAAGGAGAACTCAGCCCCGTGGAAGCACTTTTGGTCATATTCCCCTTTCAGTAAATGTTTATGAGCAGGTACTCTAAATAATGATTATTCGATCGTACATCTGTTATAAGTATGGAAAATTTAAAGTTGGAGTTGAGATAAACACTTTTAAAAGTCTTACTAATCAGAATACCTGATGCTATCGTGAGATAACATCTCAAGTCCCGGTGTATTTACTGATAAGGAAGAGAAACATAAATCTACATTTTCAGTCTTGGAAATTATAACTTTGGGAGGCAAAGTTTGCATCTGATGAGCTCGTGCTTGTTTGTAACTCCGTCGTGTTCCCGGAGAGGGCTCCGTCAGGCCTGCCCCGGCCTGGCTGTCTGGGTTACTGACTTCCTCGGCCTGCCTGAAACCAAGTTCAGAGAGGCCCAGGGAAGTGGGAAAATGAGGGTGTTTACGACGTGGCTGGAGGAGAGGACAGCTGGTCCACCCTCTGTGGGCTGCCCAGAAGTGCTGTGGTTCCCAGAGAGGTGGTGCAAGAGCTGCAGGTGTGCCTGGGACATTCCCAGGGCCAAAATTCCTCATCCTCCTGTAGTCCGGCCTGGGCGTGGCTGTTCACACCTGGGGTGGGGGTGCGGGCTGGGAGAAACAGTCTCTCTTTAAAAAAAACAAAAAAAGGGCCAGGGATTTAGCTCAGTGGTGCCACCACCTGCCTCGAAAGCGCAAGGACCCAAGTTCCATCCCCGGTACCAAAACCCCCCCCAAAATCAAAAAAACAAATCCAGGTTTGAAAGATGCTTTGAACCTCTCAGTTACAATAATGCAGCAGAGGAGAAGCTGGTACTGAGAGCAAAAGGCCTCTGTTTAGTCCTTGACTTCTTGGCAGTGATCTTCCTACTGCGTTATGTTTGTGACAGCGAGAGGCCTAAAGTAGGTGACATAACTCACAGATGCATTTAACTCGGCAAGTGGAAACTGTAATATGTTGCAAAATACGCAAATAAACGTGGCATCCTATGGAGCCCTCTCCTCGGGATGTCCCACCTGTGGAGGGGGACAGAAAAGAGCCCCCCACAGCGAGGGAGCTCAGAGGGGTAGCAGCGAGCTGCAGTCTTCCTGCTGGGCTTCTCTACCGGGGATCCTCTCGGGCTTCTACACTGATGCCCAGGACTCATAGCACTGTGTGCCTCAGTGTGGCATCCAGGATGAGGCCGGCCCTTCTCCTTCTTGGGCTGGGGGTCAGAGGAGGGCCCAGAGCTGTTTTCAGCCGGCAGCAGAGCAGCCCTTCCTGGAGCTCACACCCTAAGTGCACTCCCTCAGCCTCGAAGCCAACACATCATCCACACCTCGTGTGGCAGGCATGAGGTGGCGGCTGGGACAGAGCGGGGCTTGTGGGGTGCACAGCCCAGACACAGGTCAAACCTGGAACATTCCGTGGGGGAAATGAGAGGCCAGGTCACTCCTGCGGTGCGGGTGTCCAAGGTTCAGTGTCCAGGACAGCAGGGGCCCATGCAGGACACAGGTGTGAGCGGCCATCCGAGGCTGAGCTGAGGGCAGGCGGCCAGGTGAGGCAGTCAGTCCCAGGCTGGGCCCGGCGCAGAGGCTGGGAGAGCAGGAGGCCACCGGGTGGGTGTTGGCAGGGCCTGGGAGGGTGGGAAATACAATCAGATTTACAGTCTAAGCAGACCCCCCCCCCCACACACACAGTGTAGGAGAGAGGAGGCTGGGAGGAGACAGCTCGGGAGCATCCTGTGCACTGGGTCAGCCATCAGAGCAAGGCTGAGCTTGGCGAGAGACAGCGTCGCCAACAGAGAAGTCTGCTTCCCACTCCTGAGAATTTTATTTCATTTATTCATTTATGTTTAATGAATTTAATGCACAGGGAGAATTTTGAATTGTGATGAGTTCTCTGAAAGGGATCGAAGAGTCAGTACTCAAGGTCAGTGGGACAGATGCATTTCCTGGCTCCTGGGCCCACCCAGGCTGGCAAGTGGCCCCCTGCCTGCGCTGGGCCCTCCCCTAGACCTGCCCACTGTCTCCTGTCTGCTTTGGAAGCAGCGAGTCAGCTGAGGGACAGGCAGAGAGGGAAGGAAACCCAGGAGAGGGGTCTTCCTCAAAGACTGCCGCCTGGGTTCTCTTGACTTTATGATCCAGTTTACAAGCCAGTGTTCGTTCGTGCTTGGGCAGGTATGACTTCCAGCTCCCGTCCACTCTCAAACAGGATAAGCTGTCTGCAAAGCGAGAATATAATGCACTGCTCACTGCTGATCACTGCAGGTGATGCCCACGAGCCAGGGGCCCTCTCGTGTCGGGCGGATCTCTTTGATGACCCCTGCTACATTAACACGCGGGTGCTTCAGCATGCACAAGGCTCAGCCCAGCCCCGGGAGAGCCTGTGGCACCGTGGAAGTAAGTACCTCCTCACTGTCTGTGTGAGTTTCCTGGGTGTCTTCCAACAACAGAACTCCATTCTCTCTGTCATGGAGACCGGAAGTTCCACTGGTGTTGGTGGCAGTGGTTCCTGCTGGGCACCAGAGGAGAATCGCTTCCAGTCTCCAGTAGCCGCTGGCAGTTCCTGGTGTGGAGGCCTCTCACCACGGTCTCTGAGTGGTCGCCACCTCCCTTCCTCCTGGGTCTCTGTGTCTCGGGTCTCCTCGCTTCCTCTGATAGGACTTCAGCCTCAGATTTAGGGTGAGATGGCTGCGAGGTTAGCTCATCTCATCTCAAGATCCTTAACCTAATGACATCTGCAAAGACCCCTTTGCCAAATTAGGTCACATTTCTAAGTCCCAGGGATTAGGACTTGAGCATACCTCTTTTGGGGGCCACTAATTCAGTAGACTCACTCTCACTCAAAAGATTATTTCCTTGGCTTTGTTTTTAGAGAGTTAAAGGGACTCTTGCTTTATCTCAGTTCCTCATTATAGTAATAACAGAGCACAACTTCATGGAGGTTTTTTGGGTTTCAAGATTTTATCACGTTGATTTTGAATACTTCTTTCTTTTTTTTTGGTATTAAATTCTTTTATTGGTACATTGTAGGTATACAACACAATTACATTTCTCATTGGGAATTGTACCTTTACATAAT